ATATAGAGATAGAGAGAGAGAGAGAGAGAGAGAGAGAGAGAGAGAGAGAGAGAGAGAGAGAGAGAGAGAGAGAGGGAGTTTTCATTTTCAGTGATTGACATTCAATGTTGTTTGTGGGTTGTTGTTTTTTTAATCCAATATTTGTAGAGAAACATGGGTAATAGAATCTAATTTTGTCAAGTTCTATATTCAATTTTGGGTTCTGTGATCAACGCATAGATTTAGATCATGATCAACGCATAGATCTAGATCACAACACACCTATGTTGTGATAAAATACAAAGAACACTGCCAAACAAAGAGCCCTGATTGGTTTAAATCTGTAGATCTAGTCCGAACTAATTCGGTCATTAAATATTTGCTCTAGTTTGAGAAGCACATTGAATCGGACCTGCGTGGGTTCACATTAACTCTTTTTGAGCCGCGATTTTTCTGAATATAATCATTTAATTTCGTGTAAAGATATGCAATGATTCATCGGTTTACCTACTTGACAGCACCTGGAGAGTTAATAGAACCAATGGATTTACTATTATCTCTCCTCTCTTTCTTTTTCTCTGAAACAATGAATCGGTGCCTTGTGGGTCAACTCTTCTTTAAAACCAATTTATCTGTATTTAGTTTGATAAGCGTTTTACTGTACTCGCAACTGTATAAGGTCACATGAGCGCGCGAAACACAAGTTGGCTGCATTCACAACAGTGCTTAGCACGGCTTCCTTTTTGGTCAATGAACAGATTAAAATGATATTAAAAATTCATGGTAAAAATCTCAGTCTTATAATGAAAATTTACGTAATATCCAAATAGCAGTATATTGCGTTTTTAAATTGACATAATAACAAAATAGTAGTATATTACATTTTTTTTTGTAAAGGCCATTACAAAATGGAGAATTCTGTTGTGATAAAAAAAACGGAGAACAGATGCTTCAGTTTTGTATTCATTTGTAAACAATTTAGGTAAAATTATAGGTTGGAAGGAAAAACAAAATAACCAGCACAAGACAGGCACTGAGGTAAAAAAAAAAACAACCCAACAAAACAATAAATAAATATTTGTTAATACAAATAACCCAGAATTAGTTTTGTTTGTATTTCTGTTATTATTTTTACTGCGCCTCTACTGGTGCCTGTAAAGTAGCATTAGATGCTATGCTTTCGTTTGCAGGAAAAACTGAGTTCGACTTTCGAGTGAGGAGAATTTTTACCCAGTTTGAGCATTTTCGGTCTTTCTGCTGGGATGTTGTATACGTCTCTTGCCGGGGTCGACCTGAAAGGACGGACCGAAGCCCGCCTCCTAAATGATCGAAATTTTCTCACTGGGCTTGTAAAAACTAAAATCTTCATTTAAGAAATTCTCTGGCTGAACCATGTTCTGTTTTGCCTCTGTAACTTGTTTGTGAGCTTTTGAATATTTTTGTTGAATGAATTGTAGATTCCCCATGACTCCTGGCGATTATGGCTATAATCGTTAAGGAAGTGGATTAGACCTTTCATATCAGTGTATTGAAAATCAACTCGAAAAAGAAATAGAAGAAGGAAACCACGTAAGAGGTCCCACAAATGACAATGTGTCATTAAGCTGCGTGTCCATCAAAGCAGAACAGACCAGATTTTTGTTGAGTTGGGCAAAATTAATTTGGTCTGGTCGTTTTCGGCATGCGTGAACAAGTCAGAGGTTAGGGAACGCAAGGTGGAAATAGAGCACGAATAATTAAAAATGAAAAAGTGAACAAGTGTAAACATGCATTTAAAGTGGTCGTTTACGCGCCGACTTAGCTAATTATATTTTTTGGTGCTGATTGTGAATATAATATTGGAATTTTTATCGGAATTTAAAATTAGATTTGTAAAATTTACTTGCTCTGACTGGGCCTCTGACTGATGAGTCACCAGACGACCAGAATAAAATGCCGCAAGCGGCTTCGACCGACCTGACTTTCGGTCAGCTACCGATTTCCCGAGAGACAGACGACTTTTGGTCCGTGGGTTTCTGTTCTGGTGGACATGCGGGCGTAATCGTTTTAGCATGTGTCAAATGTGTGTCAGGGCGCAATAATTTAGAATCGATTCCGGTGGTTCATGCCAAACTATACATTTAATTTTGTCTATCTTTCCTAGTAACATTTTCCTACGGATGATTTCTTGCTTTTCTTTTTCTATACAATATAGCCTTCGCATCTAAACCTATCACCTTTGGTATTAGCGGGCTCCAGACTACTGCACCAAAAGGTCCTGCAATAAACGAGTTTTTACTGTTTTTTTCAAAGAGTTCCTTTGAGTATTCCAAGTGATACTGAATTAACCTGTGAACATCGAAAAAAAAGGGGGGGGGGGGGAGGGGAATGGGGGAGGGGGGGAGGTGCTCCCTAGGGGCTGCATTGGGGACTAGCTGAAAACAATAGGTCTTTTGATGTAATATGTAATAGTGGCGTCGGTAGTCTTGTGGTTATGCTGTTCGGGTTCAAACCTCAGGCCCGACGTTCTGTCCTTGTGAAAGGCACTTTACACGAACTTTCCTTACTTCTCCCAGGTGTGAACGGGTACCAGGCCACACAAGGGGAAAGACTTTGTCAGTCTTAGTGTTTTAACGCCTATAAATTGCTGCTTACACATTATGCTTCCCAGGAAGTTGAGATT